CCGGAATGCAATTTTAGATAAAGAAAAAATTACAAAGGTTTGGTCACATCACCCTGTGAGGATTCTTTACTCCTACAGTAAGTTGGCAATTTTTTTATTTCGGCGTATATTTGAGATTATTTTTTCTCTTGCAGCCAATTTGCAGCACGCCCTTGACAATGTGGATCCAGCTGCCTATACATCCCATTTGGACTCGGATGGACCGGTTCCGGTAGCCCCAAGACGGGAAAGGTCAAAGGTGCCTGCTAGCCCTGTGGACAGTGACTCGGATGATGCATTGAGAGGAGGGGCTTGTCGCGGTATAAGACTCTGCTTTATAAATTTGTATTCAATGTGAATAAAAACTTGCATGAATAACTTCAGCATGTTAAGCAATTGTAAAATTGCTAAATAGTTATAGTCGGTGACAGATCAGGAACAAATGGCAAGGAGAACGAAGGCAGGAAAGTAGTAAGCAGACTGAAGGTAGAAGAGGTTTCCCTCCCCTCACCTTCAACATTCCGTCTGTTCTTTTTCCTTTCGCCCCTTCATTTTTCTAGCTCCTTGATCTTGATTTATCACTGAGTATAGGCTCGTCTGGTTAGTGCAAGCTGATTCTAAAATTAAGTACTTAAGGCTGAAAGAATGAAAGCATGAAAGATGTATACAGACAGCCAAGAGCTTTCAGTTAGCAACAACATTTAATTCTGGGTGGAAAAATGTGTGCAGTATCCGAAGTAACCAACAGCGGTTGAGCCTTGAGCGAGCCTCCCCTCGGAGCAACATGGAACTCTCCAAATCGTGCGTGGTGCCCCTCTCAGCCACTGCATCGGCTGTACGCTCTGATTGGGTCTGTCGTATTGCTAGAGATTGTACCTCGTCAGTTAGGATTGCTTGTCCCTTAAACCTTGCAAGCCAGTCTAAGTACACTAGCTCGCCAACCAAGCTTCCAGATATGAATGTCCCCAGCACAGGCTAGCATGCACTCAGGGAAGCTCTCTCAGCCAAAAAACGGAACAGGTGTTGACCTCGGGGTCCTCTAAAGATGCCAGTAGTCTACAATGCCATTTGATGGTCTTTGATTTCTGACTTTGTTGGACTCATCTTTCATACTTTTAAATATTATATGCATAATATATTTTCACTTACACGGTGCAATTGATTAAAAAACAAATTTAAAAAACTTTTTTCAGACAAACAATCTATCTGACTTGTACGGTAGTTTTAATTTAAAGTGCTTCCTTCCACACAACCTTATCGCCCAACTGAAAAACACCACTTCCGCTACTTGCAACGAGTCTGCAGTGTCACACGGCTGCATGCTCGGGCCCAAAGAGTGCTGCAGGTATACACTTCAGCTTTTTTTTCACCAATCTAAATAGCCCGGAAAATGGCACTCTTAAGCAAGAAATAAAAAAATGCCTCAGTTGTTGAACAGACTTCTGATGCAAGAAAATTTGGGAACATGGTACTTAGATATGCTCTAGCTTTTGGTTAAAGGCCAACCAACAAGCAGAAAAGAAGGAAACTCTTCCTCAATTCCTCCGTTCCATTTGAGAAAGAGGGAGACTCTCCTCCTCTACCGGGAGTAGTTCAGACATCCGCACCTGTGTGGAGAGGAGGGGAAAAGTGGGCGAGTGGGAATGGAGAGAAGGAAACTCGGAACCGGTTTTTTCCCTGGTAGAAGACGATTCTGTAGGTCGGACTTTAAGCATGGTGGCATATCTTTGTCATCAGAGTTTTGCGTTCTTGGGTGTGATATTACAAAAGCAATCTTCGTGAATTGAGTGTCAGTCCTCTATTCCTTTTAATAGATTGCCGGACAACTGTCAAAAATGGGGGTATAAGTTCAGGAGTCTGGGTTGCAGGGAGCCATTGCAAAGGCACGCATAGAAAGCCCTACTTAAATACGTCTAGATTTTTAGCATTGTTTTTGTGTATCTGCAAAACAGTTTAGCTGTTCATGATTCAGTCTAAGCATCTCACTATTTTTTTTGTTTCAATGCCTTTTACTTCAGGTCCAGTCCTGCCAGTTTATCCTGGATCAGGTTAGTTCGGGCTCACTATGAAATATCTCAAACTAATGTAGCTGGTCATACTTTCAGAACACATTCACTTTTGCTCTCGGTTTTATCTCCTGTGCACTCCTGCTTACTTGAGGCACTCTTTTTTTTCTAGCTCCCTTTAGGGCTGAAGAGAGCCGTATTTACCACAACATGGATGCTCGGAACTTCTCCGAGAGGGGTGAGTACATTTACAATGTCTTGGTTTGTTAAACAGCACAAAAACACAGGACGAGGATTGGCTGAAGTGTGATGCCGTCGCTTACTTTTTCAATAATTTCTCCACCTGTATGCACCACCAAAATAATTGTGTAATTTCACGGCGTCCACACATGGCAGTCGCTGCGGAATGTCGCCCATGGCATTCAGCAGAGATTCGGCAACAATTTCAGCAGGGTCACAGGGTCATATCTTTTAATTTATGCATATTTGATCAACTTTTTATCAGTCTATATTTTGTCAACACTCATTACACAACCTCCACTGTTGCAACGCTTCAATGACACCGTGACAGCAAGCTACGATTCCGAGCAGGCCGCACTTTGCAGTCGCCCCATTGCTTTGCAAGGGGAAAAGTAATCTTTTTTGGGCTCTATCTTGAAGCGAGCCTCTTTAGAAAGTTATGCCACCAATCAAGAAGGCAGAAATGGGGAACTGGTGGCCGACCATCTGCAACTCCACTGGATGAGTGCAGCGACATTCATGTTGCCAAAAATCAATTTCAAGGCTGTCATGAGAAGGAAGGTTTCTATGAAATGTAAGATGTTTCTGTAAGAAACACGCCTTCGTCGACGAAGCATTTTGTTGGTGAAACAGTTTTCGATGAACTGATTGCTACCTGGGGGGTCTAGACAACACCTTGTAAAATATTGAGGCCTGCATGCTTCAATTTGGTTGTTGCACAGGTAGGCCAGTTGGGTGCACAAATTGAACATGAGTACTGCATCTGCGTTCGACAGGGTTCTTGGTAGAGCTGTCACTAACCTCTTAATGTTTGAGTTCAAAAGGGTTGTGAAGTTTGCAACTTTCAAACTTTGCCAATGTTCGAATTTACTAAGTTTGAAGCTTTCGAGGTTTATAAAAGTTAGCTCAACAGTTTCTTATTTTTTTTCGCAGTTTGTTTTAAAAACATTCGAGAATTTAAAATTTTTTGGTTCGAATCAGTCAAAGATTTAGAATTTTGTTCCAAGTATAAGTTTGTGAAGTTAGAAGTCTTCAAATCGCACAAGGGTCGTAGTTTCATAGTTTCAAGTAATTTTTGTTAATTTTCTGATGTGTGAGCTCTGTTTAGCAGAGTTCGAACAAAGCTAACAAAGAACAAAGAGATGTTGGGCTCAGCCGTTGTCACCACCAGATAGCTCGCTGCGCTTGTTGGGCAGGTCGGCGATCGGCCACATAGCTTGTCTCTTGGAGCTTTGAATCAGTCTTCTGCGACAGCGATTGTTATCTGCACAGTTCGAGCGTGGTCGCATGTTATTTGCAGCAGTTGCTATGTGTTCCAAACAGTTAGGTACTGATTGAATCCTGTTTTGTTTCTTAGTTTGACGAATCCGTGGAAAAACTACTAAAAGTTGTCGAATTTTTCAATATGATAGGTTGGGAAATTGTTATATGTTTCAGTGTCATAAGTTGGAAAGGTTGATTATATTTTAATTCTTCAAGCGTTAGATTCAGAAAATGTTTGCTTCATCTCTAGTTATTGGTGTGATCAGTGAGAACATGAGCCCCAGCCCAGTGCTGATGCAGCACTCGTGGTCTATGTGCTTTGTGCTGGTCTATTTGTCGACAAATTTGAAGCAGGTCAAAATCTCTAACGCTTTAGGTGGGGGAAATGAGAGAGGAGGTGCCTGCAAAACTAGATTTTCTGAGGGGCTTTAGACCTGACAACTGCTTAATAACCAGTTTTCTGCATCAAATTCCCGTGCCACACGGGTAACTCAAATGCTATTTACAACGAATGACATTTGAGCGGACGGCCAATCAGCGCACGACAGTCCGGGCATGGCGCATTCCACGCACGAGATATTGCGAGCTGATTCGCCGATCACACAAATGTCATTCGTTGTAAATTGCATTCGAGTTGCCCGTGTGGCACAGGTATTATTCCAACAGGTGAGGAGCTAAGACTAATTGGTGTGTGGTAGAGTAGGACCAGATTGATACATTCCCGGGTATGTTCTCCCCGACCATACATTTCTTTCACCGCAGTCCCAGGAAAAATGTATTACCGGTGTTCTGCTGTACTCTGACCTATAGACAGTCGCAAGCAGGGCAACTGGCCACCACCATTTTTTTTGCTTGTGCCAGCAAGCACATGCAATTGCAAACCTTCCAAAGCCACTTTCATGTGCATACTGCTCATGCTGGTGCCATCTGCACGTGCATGGGGCACCGTTGTGTGATGCCATGCCATCATGTTCTTGTGTACATGCTTTTTGGTAGAGGAAAATGACATTATTTTCAAATGCTTTCTAGCACACCATGATTCTGGGATATTTTGCACTTGTCCTTGGCTTATAATGAAGAGCTGCCAAATTTTACCCACATGATGAGAGAACTTTTTAAATCATTTTAAAGCTACCAAAGGCACGTGAACAACATCCTTCCCTTCTGCCAAATAAGTTTGCATGTGTAAAAATGGTGGCAAGTCTGTGGGCCCCACTTTAGAAATCCAATTGCTTGATAACTAGTTTTTTTACATCTTGGCAACTAAGTTGAGAAATCAAAATAGCATTTCTTTGTGTTCTGGAATGTGCTACACTGACGCGCAACTCCTGGTGATCACTTGCAGCAGCTTGGAACAACCCAGAACAGCTAGGGACAGAGCTTTCATTTCAGAATGGCCTCATGCCTCCCCAAGGATTGGGTAAGTGATAAAATTATATTAAAATGGTCTTGTCTAATTTTAGTTTATTTCTAGCCCGCCCACTTCATGACCCGGCCAAACTCATAGACATGATGAGGGTGCAGCAGGAGATGTTGAGGTCTGTACAGGAGATGTTGACATCCCAGAAAAATAGCCATGTTGGTGAGAAATTATTTAGATCATCTTCAACCTCGATGTGACCAAATGCGACCATTATCTTGCACCCTTTGGTATGTTGTTGTCTAGCTTATTGAAAGACATTGCTTTATGCTCCTGAACAATTTCTAGAGCCCAGTCACCAACTGTGCTTCAGGCTGAAACACATAAATATAAAACATGAAATAGAGATGTTGCATAACTCACTAGTATCAAGTCGAAAGGTATAGAAATTTCCTAACTTTCCTGAGGTTCGCTTTGCAAAGTTTTAACATTTAACTCTTCCAAGATTCGAATTTGATATTAATGCTTTCGGCATTTGAGTTTGACGGTTTGAGACTTTCTCGAGGTTAATGCCCGAAAAAGTAAAGAAATTCAAATTCCTTTGTATGTGAAGTATGAAGTCTTTGAGCTTGACAAAGGACCACGTAGCCCAGTTTGTTATAATTTTTCATGAATTCGTCTTATCGTATACAACAGTTGTTTTGCTCACTTTGAAGCTGAGACATGACCTATGTTAGCAGAGTTCAAACATAGGGTGTAGTATACACTAGCTGAGGGTCAAGGCAAAGCTGGCAGAGCCATTGCTGCCTTCAACTTGATAGCTGGGGGCAGGCATGCCAACGGTTCCTCAAAGCAGGGATGCTTGAAAGCCACATGCTCTCCGGGGGAAGCATGTTTAATGCCTTTGCCTTAAAGGGCCACTTTGCTCAAATCCAAAAATTTGGGGTTATGAGTGATTCCACTTCAAAACGTACTAATAAACAGCCCCACGTTCTCTGTTTTGCTAGATGTGGCAAATTGTTTCAGCAATATTGCTTTCAATATAGCAGATACCGGAACAGGAACTATGGCTGCGAAAGGCAGCATGGGTTTCGTGATGTCGGAGACATTGCAAACCATGCGGTACGATTGGTCGTCTGATTCTCAGGAGGATCATGTGAAGTTGCACATGTTTAGTGCCGATCGAAGCTGTGCTTGTGCACTCTTCTATTGCATGTGGACACTTTTGAGCGAAGTTCACGACATCATTTGTGGACCTCTCTCCAAGAAGTAAAACATACAAAGCGCGGCAATGCTTGTGAGGTCCTGGCTCAATGGAGGCTGCTCAAACACCTTAGTATTTGCTGCGGTATTGATTGCACCTCATGTCGCCCGCTAGAGGTGGCGGATGTCAGCAAGTTGGCTCCTTTCAAAGTTTGCTGGTACTTTTAAATATATATATATATATATATAGATGTAATTAAATCATAATATTTGGTGTCTGGTCTTCCTAGATGATACTGAATGCAAAACAAATTTTGCGTTTGGTGGGTAACCGAAATTTGCATCTATTTGGCTAGAGTGAAAAAGGTGGGACAGCACAGCATAGTTTCTCCTTGCCAAGAAGTGGCACAATAGGGGGATTGGCCACCATACAGTTTAGTTCTTAAGTCAATTTATAAAAATAACGATGATTGTGACCGTTTACCTAAGGCCTTCTGTTGGATAAAGAAAAAAACGGTGTTCAGTGAGATGGCCTAGTCATAAAGAATGCCAACGCCACCGAAAACTGCATGATTAGGTACACTCGTCATAATCCAGAAAATGGCAGATAACTTGTGACTTACAGGGCTTGCCGCAAACCATGATGGAAGTAAAACAACTGCTTAAGTTAAAAAATTGTTGAATTCTGTGACTTAATATGTAATTTGGTTTCTTTTGTTCTCCCCCACTCCAAAATAACTGCCTTGGTGCTTAATTTTCAGGATTGATTGCTAAGACCGAAAATACGGGACCCTATTCTAACTCTTTTTAGTCGCCTACTATAATGACATTGATGCTTAAAGAGCCTCTGACATGCAAAAAAAAAAAATTCATGCTAGGCGTTGAAATGGCATGTCAGGACATTACAAAAAAATTGTTTCACTATAGAGTTGCGTAGGTTTTTTTTTATAAAAAATTAAAATATGAGGCCCAATTAAAGTTCCCGCCAGTGCACTGTGGCGTAATAGTGTACCGCAAGGTGTCGGGGCGGTCAGAAGGGAGGCATCGACCTACGTCACTAAAAGTGGGTTCGTAGGAAGTCGCGTGAGTTTCACCCCTCGTGCTGTCCGGGACCGTGCCTAAGACTTTTTTTTCTGCTCCTTGTACGAGCGATTGTAGAAAACGAAGTTTCAGTTCCAATAGCACTTTATCGCTACCCCATTGGTTAGTTTGCATGCTGTAAAAAAGTGAGGACGAAGGGTCAGTGGATCGACGTGATGGAGGTCAATGATGAAAGCGTTGCGAGTACAAGCCAGTGTAGGATTGCGTGCTGCCAGTCCAATGATACAGAGCTCAAGGGGCACAAAACAAGCTATCGAGTGTTAAAAAAAAATTTTAGAACGCTCGCAGAAATTAGGATTGCTAGTGTATGACACGCCCCGTTGCATTGCTGAAGGTTCGGACACCGAGGTCGTCGAATCATTGTATACTCTCCAGGCTGAAGGTGGCTGCCGTCTCTCGGAAATGCATGCAGTGTGATATCTTCTTCAGTTGCTGAAATACCGGGACAGTCGCTCACACTGCACCTTCTAGGCATTGTAGTTGACCACGTCAATTCACTGACTCCTCTTCTTCTACATTTACAGCAACATTAAGCGATGAAAAGCAAATAAAAAAAACCTTGTCTGCTTGGATCGCTCGTGGAGGTGTGGAGAATAACAAAAAAAAAAATTGAAAAAATATTACACGCGCTCGCGGTAAGCACGAGGAGAGATACAACTCGCGTGACTTCCGGCGATGCCTCCCTTCTGACCGCCCCGACACCTTGCGGTACACTGTTACGCCACGGTGCACTGGCGGGAACTTAGAAGTGGGCCTCGTATTTTTATTTTTTATAAAAAAAATTTACGCACCTCTAAAGTGAAACAACGTTTTCGTAATGTCCTGACATGTCATTTCAACGCCCAGCATGGAAAAAAATATTATTTTTTTGGCGTGTCAGAGGTATTTTTAGGAAAGTCTCCTTTAATACACTTTTAGTATCTTGTAAGGGACAGTTTTGTAGAGGACATCATACGGTCTTTTGGCAGATTCTACATTGCTGTGTTCTTGGTAGAAAAGTTACTCATATTCCCTTGGGTGCCTAGTGAATCAAAGTATTAATAGACTTGCCAAACTGCGTTTTCTGCAGCTTTCCGGGATTGCGTCTTGCACAATCAAGCGGACCTGCTGGCGCAGGCGAACAGTTTAAGGTAACAGCTGGGCAACAAGAGCCTCGTGAAAGTGGTTTATTTGCCCGACGACTGCCCTTCCCTGCCCGTCAACAGCCTGGATGACCTGAGGGCCTTGAACGTGCACCTTGAAGCAAGAGACAAGCTTCAGCACATGGTATTGTTGTTGAATAATTTTTACACATACGGGATTTTCTGTGCGTGTTTTCAAGAGAGAACGATACACTGGTTAGTCATAAAGCAGGGCTTTGAGTAAACGTTTGGCCCAGTTTATTATGTTTATAAATTCGAAGGTATTCAGCACAGTAGGCACTCCAGCATTTCTACATTTCTGCATGAAATGATTATGACGTTTCTTGCTTTTTTTACATGTTTTTTTTTTAGGTTAACTTCACAAGCTCCATCACTCAAACTTTTTATTTGATTTCTTACCTTTCAACGGTCACCGGCAATCAAACTTTATCCCCCATTAACTTTATTTTGTCAGGTTCAGAGCAGTTCACTCTGCATTTACTCCTGCCATTATTTTTGAAGCGTATCATGGGACAGTGCATCACGGCTCACTTTTACCATCGTGGTTTCTCTGTTGGTCACATGTTATGAGCCGCTGCTGTTTACCTGAATTGATCACACTTTACTACGATGGTGGTGTTTAACTCCTGTCTACGGGGTGGTGTCTAACTTCTCTCTACGGAGCGTTAAAAGTGAAGTACTTTCTGCATGAGAACACTGGGGAAGGTGTTCTGAAAAATGGAGCAGCGAATACCACGGAACGGGATATGTGTAGTCTCCAGAATGCTCAACATAATCATTTCTGAATGTGTCAATGACAATGCGGCTGTCACCATCTTTTTTGTATCTCTCTTGCTTGCATTTATTTCAAGCAATTTTCGTTTTGTTTCCATAGTTTATTTTAAACGGGGAGAAAAGCGGTCATTTATTACAATCTCGGTTCCCTGTCAAGGTATGAAATGTGTGCCAGGTTAAAAAAATGTTTATTCTAGTTCACGTCTCTTTTTGTGTTTGCCATCTCAAGCTATCCCCTTTTTTGATGCTTCATCCTGGAAAAAAACTTGCCTATTAGAATTAGAGGTCATGATTCTTTCACTTAGTAAATACAAAAATATTATGGAGATTTTTTATTCCAAAATCAGTCATATTAGCCAGTGTTATAGATAGGGTTCAGTGTTTTCTGTGTTTTTTTTTTCCTCAAAATTTGGGGTATATTTTTGCTGCGTTTAGTTCTTAGCTACAGTTTCGGTGTTTTTTGTGTAAATTGTGTAACCAATTTACAAAAAAACACTGAACCTGTAGGAAAAAAAATTAACTTGTAAAAAAAAACACCCCAATTCAAAAAAAAAAAAAAAAACACCGAAAACATTGAATTCTAGTTATAGAAGGGGATGTCGTGAACCTGCCCAGGTTCGAGTTCAACCAAGTTCGAATTTTTCAAACTTTCCACTTAATGTCCGACAAAAGTTTGAAGTTCAACTTTTGTGCGCATGCACAGAACTTAAAAAAAAACAGTGGACTCCACCTGGTGGAGGAGAAGTGCAGTATTTGTTGCGTGTATTGGCATCACTGGTTCAGATAACTAAGGAAAGCATTAACAGCACATATTTTCGCTTTTATATGGTGTAAACATTGGTAACCATTTTATAAAATATAAAACAAGCTACTTTCTAAATTATTTGTTTCCCAAAATTCGAAATATTCGTGTAGAAGTGGGGCAACACTGTCCAGAAGTCAAACTTCTTCGAACTCTAGTGAAAGTTCGCAGGTCCCACCCCTAGTTATAGATAGAATTCTGTGTTTTCGGAGTTTATTTTTTACTTGAATTTAGGGGCATCTTTTTTTTCAGGGTTTAATTTTTCTCTCAGATTCAATGTTTCTGTGTAAATTTATATAAGTCAAAACCAATGTACCGAAAAAGCACTGAATCTGTAGGAATGAAGAAACTCATAAAAAGAGTACCCCCAAATTTAAAGAAAGGAATTCCAAGAACACGGAACTTTAGTTATAGATTGCCATAATTGAAGTATACTCACTGGCGACATGTCTAGGCTTGGCAGTGCTTGCATGTTGTGGTTAATGTTTTTATAATCTGATTTGACGCTTGTATGTAGCTTGATAAAAAAGAGTATAGATCATGAGGAACACTGTATTTAAACATTGGTCTTCCCCAGGATGTTAGTATATTGAGTGCAAGCACAGCTCCAGTTACCGGGCGCAAACCAATATCCCGCTTCACTGAGACAAGAAAAGTGCCGTTGGCATTCCCACAGCTCTAAAAAAGCCAGAGTCAAGCTCATCTGCCATGTGTGCAATGTCCCACACTGCGTTGAATGTCTCGATCTGTTTTGCAAGAGTCCACGAGAAATTCCTTTACAAAACAGTTCAACTGTGCAGTGGGGCAAGTTCTCTCCCACGTTTAGAAAAGCTTCCAAGTTGTTTGTGCGACACAAACTGTCTCACTTGTTTTGATCTAAGTATTCTATGCATTGTGCCAATGTTGTTGTGTTCATGCGTCCACTATAGGAGATATTTACTTAACGCCATATTCATGCACTCTTGCCAATGCATGCTCAGAATGAGTCCACATCTATAGGGTGCGAAGACAAGCAATCTTGATAGTGTCGAATGCATGTCGCAAAAGTGCTGTGGAAGCTTACCTTCTAACAACTGAGCACTCTGCTATGGCCGGCAGTGAATACCCCCTATTGTGTGCACAGGCCACTGGCAACTTTATATGGTCACCAGTTTTTACAGCGGAGCTGTTATAGGCTCTAGGGTCTGGGAAAAAATGTGTCCTCACCTGCCAACAGAAAGCTCCCCATTGGTCCTGGTAAGTATGAATAAATAAAAAACGAAGAGGAGTCAAGTATGAATGAATAAAAATAAAAAGAGGGGGCAACCAGCGTGAGTCGGCCTTCCTTGCCATTTTTTGATAGTAAGGTCCTGATCCCTTGCTATCATCTCTAGGCATCGTCCTTGAGGTCACCCTAGAAGTCGTCCTTGAGGTCGTCTTAAGCATCATTTTCGAGGTTATAGAAGTCGTCCGAGACCCTGTTCTTGAGACGTCGCCCTCTAGGCATCGTCCTAGACGTCGTAAAGACAGCAGCTTGGCTGGTCCTCCATCTAAAAATTCTAGAGCCCTTCCAAGTGGAAGGGCTCTAGAATTTTTTTCTATTGCTCACATAAGGTTAAATATATGGTGCCATAACATATCCACAATTTTCTACCTAGTATATGTAGGGGGGGGGGGGGGAGCCTACTGTTAATGCTTCACTTGTCTTTTTTGACATTCCCAGGTAGACTACTACAGCCAGAAGGGAGGCACCGACAAAAATGCCGACACGCGGGCCTTGCTGACCTGCCTTGTCCACAACGATGTGGCTGGACGTTGCATTTGGAAAGGGTCAAAAGGGCGCAAGGAGCCCTTCGATGAACTGAAAAAATATAATGACCCGGTTGCTCGGTAGGTTTCACTATTGGTTATTTCTTGTCCAAATGACAGCTTCAGAAAACATCTACAGTCGAATCTCGTTAATTCAACCTCTCTTAATTTAAACTTGTGAATAATTCAAACTAACATGCGGGTCCCATCCTGTGCATCTCTATGGGTGGAAGCTCCTGGTAGTTCAGTGAATAGATGGCAATATCTCCAATCTTCTTGAAAATGGTTAAAGAGAGTGATGATGTTAAGTTAATTTCATAAATATTCCATGACTCTTATCTTGGGGGGGGGGGGGTGGGATTATTTATGCCCATAAATCTTAAAGGGACAACGATTTTAAACTTTTCTAGAAAGTGTGTTTCGGACGCCTTGACATCGTGGCATGCTGTTAAGTTTGGTATAAAATTTTGTAACTGATTTTCGTGCCTGCGAATAAATTGACTATACTGAAACTAACCATCCGAGTGATGTCATGTGAGAGTAGTTGTGCTCACATGTCAATTCCTACATCAAATAAAGCAAGGAGCTAGGAGCTCGCACAAAACTTGTTAGTTCCGCACACCTGGGCCAGTGCTGGCTTCGCTCCCGGTATGATTTTTCTCAAAACTCAATGCATCGCTGCCATAACGCATTGAGGGAACTTTAGTCTTTCTGCTTGTGCGACAACGTCGCTAGAGTTCTGCCCATGTAGAGCACCAGACAGCACAATCCCTCTCGTGCACTACCGTCTACCTCCTGTGAACTAAAGTTATGGCTGTGTCACAGGAGTTTATTAAGATCGGTCTAATCATTTGTGCGACATGCAGGTGTCGGTTCAGGATAAAACTTTGTCCACATTGCATGGGTCATGCTTGAGGCTTGTTTCAATCGTCAAATGAAGTTTCCAAATCGTCTTCATTGTCCAGTCTTGTTAGCGTTTCTTCAACGTTTGTACATTTTTAAAACCATCTACTAGTTTGTTCTTTACTTTTGTTGCAGAGCTAATGTTCTCGCACGTCTGCAACTAGATTTAATTGAATATCTTGTTCTGTGATTTCTTTATAATAAGTTTTGCAGATAATTTTATTTTACCAAAAAAGAAAAAAATCTGTATTAAGAGTTTTGATGAAAGCTTTCAATTCTAGTTCCGGAAACGTACGAGCACTATATATCTCTCTGCCTACAAAAGTTAAGAGCTCTGCAACCAGTAAATGTTTTTAAAAGGGTACGAATGAGAAGTTTACAAAAAGAAATATCAATGCACAACGGAAAAAAAGTTTTAGTTAATTAACTTTTTTTTTTGTGAAACCAAGATATATCCTAATAATGTTTAAACACTGGGCTAGTTGGTATGTGTTATATATAACTAAATAAAACCGCAGAAGAAGATATAAAAGAGACACAGGATAGAACAGGTCTATCTGGTGCTTTTCTTTTTATATCTTTTACGCTGTTTTATTTTATTATGTACAGTCGAACCCAATTATGTCGAGCTTGCACAAATCCGTCTACGAGTTTGATACAGCGGGTAATTTTATATCAAAGTTTTAATATACCTGACAAGGAACAAGCACGCCCCATTTAGGAAAGTACGTTACTCTTGAAGGAGCATCTGTACGTTGTGAGGGGTTGAGTGTACATAATGACACGCACCCTCCTCAAAAGAATTTTTTTTTCTTCCGAAAGGTCGACGCAGCCGCCCAAAAGAAAAAAAAAAAAGCCAGCTTTCTCTGCAAGCTGGCTTTCCCCCAACAACTTCACACGATTTGGGGGGAAGCGAACTTGCAGAGCTAAACGGCGCTCTTGGCAGTTCAATCTATCGGGAGACTGCAATTTTCATTCGATGTAACTGCATTTTTCAATATGCATTTTTATTGCAGCTACTAGTCTGTTCACCAATTGTTCGATACAAGGGATAGTTTGAATTAACAGGGTTTTATATAATCGTGTTTGACTGTATGACCAAAATATATCCACTTCAGTCAAATGCTAGATCTTCTGAATGGAAAAGCTAATTTTAGAAGAGATCTTGATCCCTTGCAATCTTCACTGATATAGGTTAGGAATGAAACCTCCAAAGTGGCCATTAATGATCCATCAACAGTTTCTTGAAGATAATAAAAATGTCTCTGCACCTCTAATAACTGCATTTTTAAGTTGTTTCCTGGCAAAAAAAATTGGGGTTGCTGACCCCATTTTGAGCAAATGTTTAGATTTCTAGTGTACCACTATGAACGGTCACATGAATATTACACATATTGTCATCTTTTGACCTTTTTATTTTCAAAGTACATCCAACAAAGTGAAGCAACTTAGCCTGTTTTGGTATCACATAATTATGCATGATATTGTCTATCACTAAATGTATGTATAAACGGAGTGCTTTTTTTTCCCCTTTTTTTTCTCAGCTGCTGGCAAGGCGAAGTATGCAGACTTAACCGAGGCGACAATTCAAGACATGACGAAGAGGTGGCTCTGGTCGTTTGTCGACCGGGATGGTGGGCGGAGCAAGAGGCGCCATGTGGAAAGGGAAATTGTTCAATAAAAGTCGTACCAGAAAATTCTCAGCTTATTTGTGTTAACAAGAAAAACCAACTACCAATTAGTTAGTGCATCTTTACATCTGGTTTCAAGTGGTTGACCAGAACTGATCTACTTCCAGCTTCCAAAAAATGTGCAGGCAAAATGTCGGGCACACGCTCATGCTCTGCAGTGCGTCCACAAGTTCATTGCAAGAATAATACCTCACTGCAAGTTGCTCGCCAATGTGTGGCCTCTTCTGTAGGGCCGGCACCCAATCGCAAAGGTACGGACTATGCCTAGTAACGAGGGATCGGCCTGTGTCTAGCTGCATGTCATCAGCCAGTGCCCGGTCAAATGTCTTCGGCTAGCACCTGACCTCAGATGTACGGCTGAAGCCCAGTTGCTGACCTCCGGCCTGCCTCCTATCACAGGGGACCAGCCGATGCCCTGTTGCAAAAGTTCGGATTCCTTTCGGCCACAGTGCATTGGCCAGTACCCATATGCTAACCTTCGGCCTGTGTCCTAACCGAAGTCTTCGGCTGGCCTCCATTTGCTAACCTCCGGCCAGCATTCAATCGCAGGTCATCAGCCAATGCCCTGTTGCTCAACTTCGGCTTGCTTTCGGCCAGACGGCATTGGCCAGTGCCCAGATGCGAAACTTTGGCCTGGGTCCAGACCAACGTCTTTGGCTAGTCTTTATTTGCTAACCTTCGGCTAGTGTCCTGCTACAGGTCATCGGCCAGCCTCCAACAGCCAGTCCCCACAAGTCTTAGGCCAAGGCCCACAGCCATGTTCGGGCATAGTAGTTTGACCAGCCTTAGGCCGGAGGAAATCTGACCGGCCAAAATGCTTCAACCATTGCCCGGCCTTTCTTTTTGTGCTGCCTGGGAATCTAGTAACGTAATTACACTAGGAACAATAATGTGTATAAGTGTGAAATCAATTATTCATTTGTGAAAAAAATAATAAAATCCCATTCGGCGTATAAGGCTAAAATGTGAGACTAAATAGTTTGTTTTGTGGGATTAGGACTAAGTTATTTGGTCTCCAGTTGACACTAGGTGTAGGGGGACACGTTCTTTATGCAAGTTGTATGAAGTGTTCGAGGCGAAATCGGTCACACAAAGGCATTCGATGAATATGTAAGCAATGATTAACGGTGTAGTGAAATGCTCACAATCTGGAGAATTTTCCACGCTCAAAAGCTGTCCACGTGTGAGATTCCTAGACCAATTAATAAACGGCTCCTTACTGTCTCACAGATGCCCTCTCGATGTTGGGCACTCTCCCATTCGTTTATCTAAGGTTTGATCGCATTTAATTCATTGCATGTTTCACTGTTACACAGAACTTGACACTACCTTCGGGTGTAGCACCTTAAGGAGGAGTTTGTAAGCTTATTATGCATATATACACTACTCTTTGATTTGCTGGGCTTGCTGTGCAATCGACCACTAATTTCCATAAATGCCGATGACTAGGAACCAAGCATAAAATTATGGTAGTATTGTTGTATGTAGTAAAGATGATATTGTTATGCAGTTTAATGTCAAGGGGATTAGTACCAAACCAAGTAGCGCAGAATCATCGGCCATGTCTCGGTCATTGCTAGGCCAACGATGAATCGGCCACCGGCGAATCCTCGATGGACAACCAAAAACCATGGTCGGTAAAAGCCAGGCCACCGAGGCCTCGACATTAGCTCGGCGACTGGCAAAGGGCAGTGCTGGGCAAACCCCCGGCCACCCGAAGTATTTTTTTACATGTTCGCCACCAAGGAAGGGCCTAGCCCGGCATTTGCCCAGTTGCCAAGGCCTTGTTTTCATCTCGGCCGTAGGGCAAAAAAACGAGGGCCTCATTTGCTAGGCCACCGAGGTCTTGTTTTCACCTTGGCTATAGGGCAAAAACAAGAGCCGGCATTTCCTAGGCCCGAGGCCTTGATTTCATCTCGGCCATTAAGCAAATACCGAGGGCCGGCATTTGCTAGGCCACGGAAGCCTTGCTTTCATCTTGGCCATTGAGCAAAGAACGAGGGCCGGTATCTGCTAGGACACAAAGGTATGTTCGAGGGTTGTTTTCAGCCGAGCCATTGAGCAAATACCGACATGGCATTTGCCTGGCCACAAATGTACAACTGAGGGTCGTTTTCACCTCGGCCATTGGACAAAACACAAATGCCGGCATTTGCTAGGCCCGAAGCCTTGATTTCATCTCGGCCATTAAGCAAAGACCGAGGGGCGGCATTTGCTAGGCCACCGAGGCCCTCTTTTCCTCTCGGCCATTGAGCAAAGAACGAGGGCCGGCATCTGCTAGGCCACCAAGGCATATTCGAGGGTTGTTTTCAGCCTGGCCATAGAGCCAGTACCGACGCGGCATTAGCCTGGCCACAAATGTATTACCTGTATCGTATTGCGCTATACAAGATCACCAAGCGGTGG